ATTGCAAATCGTATTTTTAAAATAATATAATATTAAATAATAAAATTAAAAAAAAATTAAATTAAAAAAATGGGTTGCTGATAAAAAAACCTAAAAAGAAAACCTAAATAATCTTATATTAACAGGAGATTCGTGTACATTCTCTAGAGTAATAAGAAAATCTCCCTTCCTCTCTCTCTCTCTCTCTCTCTCTGTTTCCTAGCTAGTTCCCTCCCTCTTAGTCTCTTTTTTCTCAACTTTCAACCCCCAAACCCAAAATTAACCAACTCTCTCTCAGGTTAGACAGTTTCCAAGACTTCGAGCTCTTTTTGATACTTTACTTCCTCAAATCAACAAACAAAAACCAATTCCCTTTTTATTTTCTTTTGTGAATTACACTCGCACATATATACCATGCACCGTTAACACAAGCAAGCAATCTGTTGAAAGATACAGACACCCTTCTGTACTTTTTTTTTGGGTTTGCAGTGTTGAACTGATAAATGAAGGGAGAGGATCAAGCGAGGTATTTGTTCGGGATTTCTTTATCTGACCGGCCTAAATGGCAACAGTTTCTTATTTGCTCTTCCGGGTTCTTCTTTGGTTATCTCATTAATGGCATCTGCGAGGTTTGTTTCTAAGTTTTATACTGTTTATCATCTTGGGATTTTTTTAATGAAGTGCGGACATGTTGTTTGTTTCTTGTTTGACTTTGATGGCCAATTCTTGTTCTTGTTTTTCTTTCTTTTTTTTCTGGTGTAATTGGTTAAATTTCCATGTCTTGAGCGTTTAATATCCACATGCATCTAATGTTTTTGTTATACTCTGTTTGATTGCTGAGAAGGAAACTGATGCAACGCAAAGTTTTATTATTTTTTTTTTTATTTTGGGCATAATTGATGGCAAAGTCTCGCAATTTTTGTTTTCTCTTAAATTTTTGTTTCTTAAGTCTAACGAGTCAATTTTCTTCCTTTGGTCATTATTTTGTTAAAAAATAATGTTTTCTTTGGGTGTTCCTTATATAGTCTTTTATTTGTTTTGACCTTAAAATTATGAAAAATGGCATACCAGTATATCGGTAAATTTTTTGTTGGTTTTTGTTTGATTCTCATTGCTTGGAGCTTTTGATCTTATCATCGACATATCACATTTTCAATTGGCTAATTGCAGGAATATGTGTATAATCGGCTCCAATTCAGGTACATAACTATTGTTAGTATTTCTATATTAATTATGTTATGCAGTAATTTTTATGCATATTTGTTTTTTCTTTTGGATTTTCAGCTATGGTTGGTATTTCACATTTGTACAAGGATTTGTGTACTTGGTGCTTATATACTTGCAGGGTTTCACCCCCAAGCAAATGGTGAACCCATGGAAAACTTATTGGAAACTCTCTGCAGTTCTTATGGGTTCTCATGGGTTAACTAAGGGGTCCCTGGCCTTTCTTAACTATCCAGCTCAAATCATGTTCAAATCCACCAAGGTAAACTTAGTTCTTATCTAACTCTTGTCCTATTAAGTTGGATGTGACAGGTCTGGTTTTTTTTAAGATCTCTTGTACATGTGGAAGTAATTTAATTGATTGAACTTTTGTTGCTTGTATTTGAACACGATGAAATTTAAGATGGATCTTGTCCCTTTCTTCTCTAATACGAAAGTTTTGTTGATTTCGAGAATCTAGGTACTGCCAGTCATGTTAATGGGAGCCTTCATTCCAGGATTGAGAAGAAAATATCCAGTTCACGAATACATATCTGCTCTGCTTCTGGTTATTGGTCTGATCCTTTTCACCTTGGCAGATGCTCAAACATCTCCAAATTTTAGTATAATTGGTGTGCTGATGATTTCTGGTGCTTTAATTATGGATTCTTTGATGGGTAATTTGCAAGAAGCAATTTTTACTATGAATCCTGACACCACGCAGGTGATGACCCCCCCCCCCCCTCCCCGATACATGAACACAAAATTGTTTTGGCAAAAAATTGTGCATCATCAGGCCTTTCTTTTTATGTACTTGACAGATCGAGGTGCTGTTCTGCTCGACAGTAGTTGGATTGCCTTTCTTGCTTCCACCAATGATCCTGACTGGAGAGCTGTTTAAGGCTTGGAAATCTTGTGCTCAAGTAAAGAACTAAACACGTATAAATATTTGTAGATTCGCATGCTATATAAATTGATTTGAAAAGAAATCCATGTTGTACGTGTGGGACTTCAATGAAATTGGTTGGAGTCAAGTTACACATAACGTGGCTGCTATGCACAACCAAAAAAGGTTCCTTGGAGAAATCAATGAATGATATGGTGGTTGAAAGTCCACATCATTAGTGTATTAATTATTTAGTGATTCATACAATCCATTGACTTAGTCAGGCCTCTAGCGGGGATATTTTCCAACAAACTTCTCTGTTGGTTACAGCATGCTTAAAGAAATAGGAATTCTGTACTAAAGTAATGCAAAAGGGAGAGCTAAATGCTTATTGGATTGACATATAAAGAATACATGTTACCAAGAGTTTCTGTTTGGGTCAAGGGTTCATGGATTCTTTTTTATGATTGAATATGGAAACAGATCAAGTTTTTTGGTACTGCATTTACTTATTCTCCTGGTTTTACCTATGTAAAATAATAATCAACTTTCAGACATCCAGGTTGTCGCTGCCTTGCATTTCCAAAATTATTCAATGTCAGCATTGCTGCATTTTTTGTTTCTATTGCCAAGTTCCTTTGATCATTACTTCTTTATGTATTGCAGCATCCTTATGTGTATGGAGTGCTAGTATTTGAAGCCATGGCCACATTCGTTGGCCAAATTTCTGTTCTGTCCCTCATTGCCATTTTTGGCGCTGCTGCCACTGCCATGGTATGTCCATTGTCTCACCCTCTCTGAATTGCTGTAAATTCTGCACTTTATCCCCCCACTTTGATAGTTGACGTTGTCTTGCGTTGGAATACCCAGCTTGGAAGCCTAATGAGCCATTGAACTGCTTGATGAATGGGATGTAAAATGAGCTCATCGGAAATATTTCCACCACCTTATTTTAGGATATGCTTCACATGCTGTATCTGACTTGTGGGTTCTGATTTGTACTGGCATGCAGATAACAACTGCTAGAAAGGCAGTTACCTTGTTGCTGTCATACATGATATTCACAAAGCCATTAACTGAGCAGCATGGGACAGGGCTGCTACTTCTGGCCATGGGAATCATATTGAAGATGGTTCCTGTAGATTACAAACCCCCCACTAGGAGTGCAGATAGACATGGGAAGTCCCATTTCAAAGAAGAAATAAGCCTGGGAGATAGTAGGAAAGCTGAAGGTGCCGAAGAAAAACGGCCCTTAGTGTGAGGACAAAGGTCATATAGATTTAATTTTCCATTGTAATTTTTTCCCGTTTCTCATTACATCCAGGGGGAGGGCATAGATGACAGGAATAACAAAAAGTATATCAGGGAAGAAGAGAAAAGAGTGGAAACGTTAGCCACTTGTGATGTAAATCTCATCGGTGAAACTGAATCACCTTTTGATGTTTTGGAATGGAATGGAATTGAATTAAATTTATTGATTGAAATACAAGAGCAGCATTTTCTTTCTTCTTCTTGTGCTTGGATACTGGCTCGATCTGGCATGCACCCACCTTTGCGTAGTTTGGTGTTTTATACAGAAATATATGGTGATTAAAGGGCGGGTCGCGTCCAAACGTGAACATGTCATCAAAACCATCGTTTATCCTATATTAACTCCGATGCTATATACTGGGCAACTTGCTCCGCAGAATTTCCATTATAGAGACATGAAAGTGACCCATCGCTTGCCCCAAGGGACAGGATCCCATCCTACCAGCCTGGCTCCAGTCCCTCATTTTTGTTATCTTCCTGCTCCGCACTAATTATGCATCAAGTTATTATATAGTATTAGTGATATGTTAACATGAACTATTGGTATACTTGTTTTCGGTTTCTCTGCCATTGAATTTATTTTTTCATTAATGTATTGAAATCCCTAATGAGCCCTAACCAGGTCTCTTTACCCATGGCTCCTCTATAATATTCGCTATAGGGTTACTTATATTCATACAAATCAATGCGTCTCAAAAAAGGAGAAGAAGTCTTTGCATTAAGAATCTCTTAAAAATAAATAAATAAATGAATAAAATCTTAAATATTAAGAGGGATGATTTATTCTCACTCCATGTTCTGTTATTCCCGCTCCATGGTCAGTTTTTTTATTACTTAGATAAACCGAAATACCATAATTATATATATATATATATTTACAAATTATGATATTAAATGTTGGTTTTATATTTACATCCAGAAAATATAACAAAAGTAAAGATTCTTTGTTTTTGTGTCTAGGATAATTAAATTTTATCTTCCTTTTTGTATATAGGATAATCAAAATTTACCCTTTTTTTTATCATCACTTATCAACAACTTTAATTTCTTGGTCTAATATAGCCATAAAAAAGTTATCATGAACCGTTTGATGGCATTTATAAGAATTTTGTTTTTGTGCACAAATCTACCTCCAAAATGGAATAATGTACTAATAATATTATTAAAGTTTATTTAAGACTATGATAGAAGTTGTTTTTTAAAGTGTTTTTTCTTGTAAATATATTAAAATAATATATTTTTTATTTTTTAATATTTAATTTTTATATTAGTATATTAAAAAAGATGTAAAAATACTAAAAATTAAAAGATCTTATAACACGGTTAAATAAGAATATACAAATAGGAAGTCTTTTTATAATTAAATGAGAGTCCCATTTTCCCATAATGTATGGGCTTGAAGCCCATTGAGACAAGCTTATAACAAATCTTACAAATTCGGCTTATCTAGTCCAAGCAATTGAGTTCGCGCAGAAACTGTAGTGGTGGAGCCCAAGGAAGCACCCACGAGTCTGCAATATCCAACGGCACCAATTGAAAGTTAGTTCCCCACGTCATCGGACGGTCATAATCACCCATTTTCTAAGTAATTAATCCCCGGTTGTGGAACAGATAGCATCTTCACCCTCATTAACCAAAAAAAAAAATAAAGAAATTCAAAAGCGAGAAAAACCCTATTTTTGCTCTGTCTCTCCTTGCGGCTTTTCAAGAAAAGAAAAAAATCATGAAAGGAGCGAAACGATTTGCAGTTTCAGACTCACTCCCTGATTCCAATGACACGGCAGTGAGTTTCTTCAGAAAACGCTAATTTGATTCTACTCAATTTTCTTGTTTAACTGATAAACAATATGCTTATTTGTGCTCTTAGAATATAAGATTTCGTAGTTGTGTTTTGGTTTTTTCGCAATCAAGTTTGAATTTTGAATCGTGGGCTGCTGCTTAAATTGGGATTTGAATTTACTTTTGAGTGTTTGAGGAGTTTAGTGCTTTGATTGCTTTTGCTTTTTGGGATAATGAAGTGAGATTACGGGTAAAAGTTTAGTTTTTTTTTGCTAGATGGTCTATATATTTTATGTTAATGCATTTTAAGGAGCTTTAGTGAGGTTCTTGGTTGCATTTTTATTCATGCCTTTGAATTTTTTTTATTTGGAGCTCTGTCTAGGCAAAAGCAAAACTATGATGTCACTACTTTTTAGTTATTCTTACTTGTTTGCTTCTGTATTTTTCACGAAAAGAACATTCTATTTTACGTCTTTTTGATTTTGAGCTTTGATCATATTTTGGAGGCTGATTATGCGAAATCAACTTATGGTTGCAGTTGCGGAATAAAAGAATAATGGCAGGATTGCTATTTGATGTTCATAGACCCGAACCATCTCAGCAACAATTGACTCCGCCGTTGGATGTGAAACGGGCTGAGTCATCACAGCATCACGTGAGAGCTCTCAATAATCAATTTGCCAGGTCCATTTCTTTCCTGTATTTGAACAACTTGACATCTTCGTTTATCATCCGGTCAACTTAGTTTCTGCTTTTATGATTCATTTGGATGAAGATGATGGGTTCTCTTGTTTGTCTACTTTTTTCCCTCATATTATCAAATTCAATGTACAAGTTCTTTGAATAATGAGAAACATTTACCGCATGATGAAGATACATATTTGTTGTCCTTGATCTTATAAACTTAATTTTTGGGGCTTCTTTTATTTTGGAATAGTTGGGTTCAAACGCAACTGAAGAACCATCCCGATGAACTTTGGGAAGATGGGATTCAAGACTACCTTGCTCATGCTTCAAACATCATGGTAAAACTTAATCTCTTTTAGCATACATTAAAGGGCACATGCATGCATTCTTGTATTTAATGTAAAATCTATTTATAAAAACTTTAATCTTCTCTCTTATTGCAGGAGAAGTTTAGTGATGTTGTCAACTGGCTTAAAGCAAATTCTGCAAAAGGAGAATCTGTTGCTGACTCTCTTACAACTGAAAAGAAATTAGTGCCTGAAATAAAGAATAATGAGAGCAAATTACTTCAAGAAAAAACTGGTTGTGCTCTACCAAGTACAAGCGCAAGCTTTACAAGTTCCTGGAGCTCTGGTGTGTTTTCTGCCAACCAAAGTTCTGGAGGAGTATCATCTAGGAGCCAATGCTCTAGTTTATTCTCCAACGGTGAAAGCTCTGCTACATTCTCGAACAATCTAGGTTCTGGTTTGTTCTCAAACAACCAAAGCTCTGGATTCTTCTCAAACAGTCAAACTTTTGGACTCTACTCCAACAATCAAAGCTCTGGAGCATTATCCAGTGGCCAAAGTTGTGGAGCGCTCTCCAACAGTCAAACACCTTTCTCCATTAATCAAAGCACTGGAGCAGTCTCCAACAGCCAAAGTTTAGGAGCACTCTCCAACAGTCAAACACCTTTCTCCATTAATCAAAGCACTGGAGCATTCTCTAACAGTCAAACACCTTTCTCCTTTAATCAAAGCTCTGCAGCATTCTCTGAAAGCCAAAGTTTAGGAGTGCTCTCCAACAGTCAAACACCTTTCTCATTTGGTAGGTATTGCACTGCCATACTTGAAAGCTACACTGGTTAACCAGAAGTATTCAGTTGCCAAGATGACTTATGTGCCAGAGAAAAAGGACAAATATATATGTGATAATGGAAATGTGCACTAGGCTCAAGTAGGAAGCTATAAATGTGTCTGGGTTCTGGTTGAATCATCTAGATGAAGATATTATAGGTTTGTCTTGTAATATCCGTAATATTGTGCAATGGACTACGAAAGGTATTCCCAGAAGGTCCACCAGCCCTTGCTACATGCACCGTAGTGTCTCATGGTGTGGCAATTTAAGTCAGAAACTATAATTACAAAATCATTTGATGAAGACATGTTCAGTTTCTTCTTTTACATTTTTTTTTCAGCACAAGTCACTGAGAGTTGGCCATCTACAACTAGAGAGTACCCAAGATGAGATATGATGCTAATAAACTCCCAGTAGAATAGTTTAGATAATAAAATAAGAAGATGCAGATATGACACTATGACACTTCATTATTTGTTATTCTGTGATTTTTTATACAGATTTTATAGTCGCATGTGTTGCTTTTGTAAAAGTGACACAAAATCTGACTTTCTTTTTTCTTATTTTCTATTTTAGGAGGTCAAAGCTCCATCCCCACAACCCATAACACTGCAGATGATGGTGAGAGAGAGAATTAGTTTTGTTTCCTTTTTGTTGTTTGAGATTCTCTTAAGCTATTACTTTAAATTAAACCTGCAATGCATTTTATGATTCTCTTTCTTTTTCATGTATGTTTACTCCAGTTGATGATGTTATGTGCAAAAGTGTGAACTGCACTTCTTTTCTTTATCACATGCTGGTAGTTGAAATTTGGTTTCAAGTCCTCAAAATGTTGGTAGGGTTGTGATATCAAAACCCTATATCTGAAAAGGGAATTCCGTGTTGTTAGTTCCCGTTTGGATAATTGGATTAGAGACTTATTCCATAGCAAGCCTGACACTTTTCAACATATAAAGGAACATGCTTTAATTGTAAAATTCAAGTTGATCTGGGGGTTAAGTATATGGTCACCACGCCCATGTTTCTCTACTTTTGAGACCATGGAACTACCACTCTTTATAGATTAGATTTTCACTTAGAACTTGGTTTGAAAAAATTGGAGGATGGTTGAGTGTAATATAGGTATCTCTTTTCACTGCATTTCTGGATATTTTTGTGTTTACTTTTCATTTGCAGTAGAAGTAGGCCAAATGATTGTTGTTGTTTACTGGAAATGAAAATATTGATCATTAGACATCTATTAATTCCTTGGATTTGATCTGTTGTGTTATATATATGAAGTTTTAATTTCTTTATCCTGGTTAGTCTATCAACTGTAGGATCTCTGTTCTGTGAAATATGTGCTTTCATAATGTCTGTCTGATTTGCTGGTTCTAGCACTGATCCCATTTTGAAGCTGGATTCGTACAAATTGTTTGCATGTTTATTAACACTTTGAAATCTTCAATGGTAGACATTCTTTGTATAATTTTGAGAAATATTTCCTTGAAGCCTGGAGTTCTCAGCCAGCTCTTGTGTGTATTTGTGTTATACGTAGATATTAAACAGCCATTTCTTTTTCCAGAAAATGAATTACAGCAACCTGGCAGTCCATCTGTGAAGAAGTCTGTAGAGAAGGGTATTGTGACAGTCCATGAAGTCAAGTGCAAGCTCTATGTGAAGGTAATTGACATTTCATACTGTACTCATTGAGAAGTTTATGTTTTTGGGATTAAGTTATGCAATGTATCAAGTTTTTAATGGTAGAAGAAAGGTGTCTTTTACTCGTGCATTCCAGCAAATTTAACTTTCTCCCATTTTTTGTTTTCACAAAATTAGTTAGTTTGGTACTTAATATATCTATCAAATGCTACGTCTGTTGACATCTTAAAATTCACATGATTGATTTTTTAAGTGGAAATCAATTTCATATTCCATGCAATTTTAAGATCCGGTATTAGAAATTAAACAGTACAAGTGACAAAGAGATTAGGCATAATTGTTAAATAAGCCTTGAATCAAACTCTGTTAGTGGTTTCAATTATAGAGTGAGGTGACAAGTGGTGCTTCTATTCTCCCATAACCAGAATATCCACGATTCTAGGTATAGCAGTTGTTAATACATATTTCTTGGTATAATTGAGTTTGACATTTCTGAATTAAATCATATGATTCTCTGACAGCTCATAGTATTCTAAGACACATTTTTAATCTTCGTTATGTTCATAATTGATCTGCTGGTTGAATTGAGATGATCTGTATGCCATTCAAGTCTTGACTTGTATCTCCTGCTTGTTCTGTCATCCTTGTGGTTAAATAATTTCTTTGGTTTTTTCCTCGTGCTATGTTCAGTCAAGTGATCCAGCAGTTACAGACACGTGGAAAGATAAAGGCACAGGGCAGCTTTCCATCAAATGCATAGAGGGGATAAGCAAGGGCGCAAGAGAATCTAAACCAACAATTGTTGTTCGAAATGATGTATGTTCCATTATGGACTTATTTTGGTTTCTGAAATCTTTATTAACCCTTATCATGGTTTCAGTGATTGATTGGTTTCCTCTCCTTATCCAATTTCTTTTGTTTGCACATTTAGGCATTTTATTTTCTTTTGATAGATTCTGCATAGTGCCTAGTTCAACTTCAGATTATTACTTTAAGGACTTCTATAAACTCTTTTTTGGACTTACTGTTTTGCTGATGGCAGGTGGGAAAAGTGTTACTAAATGCTTTGCTCTATCCAGGAATCAAGACAAATCCACAGAAGAATTCCCTTGTTGCAATATTTCATACTGCGGTAATGCATTTTAGTTCTTATTTCTACACTTTTATGAGCATATAAACTTTTGTCTGGTTTATCTATAACATGTAAATCACATATCCAAGGGAACACTTAGAAGGCTGCTGTGACGGTTTATATTAATCATAATATTTAATGTATTATCTCTTCCATGGAACTTATAGCCGGTGATTTGTCTTGTTGCAGGGTGATGACAGTGGCAATAATGATATTGTTGTGGCACGCACTTTTTTACTAAGGATGAAAACAGAGGAGGATCGGAATAAGTTAGCAACAGCAATCCAAGAATATGCTCCCACATCATGAAAGTAACAATAGGAACATGATTCTTAAAAATTTTGCAGCAATTGGCTTGTTAGGAACCGAGTGAGCTTGTTTGGGGCAAAAAAAATAAATAACTGGGGTCAATTTTTGGAACACGGAGCCCCATGAAATCAAATGTGTTTCAACCACTTGTATTATATTATTAGGAGGAAAACGTATGCTCAGTTTTATTTTAATCGTAAATTCTAGTTAATCTGGAACATGCACGTCATTGTATGACTCGAAACGCGTACAATGCATGCAACACGAGCAACAGCGTGATATTGGAGGCAAATAAAAGCAAGAAACTGTAAGCTCTCCAGGATAAGATGCCCATAGCCTTCAAATTCAGTAACGTGTGTGACAACAAACAATACGTGATCGCACAGGAGGGAGACATTGAAATATATTTCTTCTCGCCACAATGTTTAATAGTTTGAAAATTAGATGCGCAACTTCTGCTATATACACCCTTTTGGTAGTAATTTCCAGAGCGGAATGATTCGATAACACCTCATAAATTATCACCTCTCCCAAGTGCGTTTCTTCTCAAATCTATCATCAGAGTTCAGTTTCTAACATCGCCAAAACTTTTGGATCAAGTTACCTTGCAGTCATTATTAGAACTCGTTAATACTGTGCCCAGAAAGTGTACGAAGTACACGCGCTCATCTAGCATACAAGTGATAATCTAAGTGATGGGGCGGTAGGGATATGCGTGCATGACGCCCAGCGAATAACCGATTCGGTGACCATGATATTAAGTTGATCAAGCTCGCCAAGTCCTATGGTGTGATTTCTTCTGCTGTGGATGCTGGATAATTTAGACCCATTGCACCCTTCTCGTGGAAATTCCATCTTCTGCATCATTTCTTCTATTCCACGGTGAACTGCAGCAGAAGTAGCTGACAATACAGGCAGCTTTCGCAGAACTGATTCTGCACCAGCCAAGAAAGAGAGCTTTTCATGGATAAATATACCAAATAGTTTGAAATAGATATCACACGGAAGTGGAATCTTGGGACACTTTAAGGACCTTCATTGTTCTCGTATGTGGAGACAAAAAGGAGCTGGTCCTTTATGGAATGCATTCGCTCTCTAACTTGCAGTTTTTAAAGGTTTCATAATATAGGCGTGGATGCCTATTCATCTAATGTGTATTAACTATGATCTTACAAGCAGGCGACAAATTAAAGCAACATATTTACCTCCATGTATTGCGTCCCATTTCAATTCGGTGGCTTTAGTACCAAACGAGAAATCTCCTTTATCAACTTCAGTGGTAGGACTAAAGAAGGTAAAGCTTAGCATTGATAAAATGGGAGATGAGAACTCTGTTGCACCTGGTTCATCATGGTTGCTAAAAGAAAAACCTCCAGATGCAGAGCAAGGGGTGTTGTCATTAACTAGGAAGGAAGAAAATGACGATGTGGGTGTAGGAGAGTGCCCCTCTTGATCCCCACCAGTTACAGGCAATTCATAGGTGAAGCTGTAGGCTTGATCCTTGGCGATGAATGGGGTAGAACATGAACCTCCACAAATTTCTAGCTGTTCACAGTTAAGGTTGTCCTGCATGTTGGATTCTTGAGCTACTTGTACCCCATCCTGCACCCAGGAGTGAGCTGTAAAACACAGTAATCCTTATTATAAGCAAAATTTCCTAGAGCTGGTGGACAGATATTCAAACTCAAAAAAGCAAGGGTCTTGGTTTTTGATACGATATGCCAAAAAGAACAAAAATTGGTTCAAGTCAAGAAAATATTGCAATAAAATGCTTAACACCTGTGCATGCCATAATAAAGGCCTATTTGGAACTGTTTTCAAAATTATTCTCTTATTCTAAAAAAGGAATGCTATTGTCTGGATCTGAAAACCTTTTTTCTTTGTATTGTTTCGGCAGAAAAGCAATAGCCTGAAATGGCATACATCAACATACCTAACACCTGTGCAGTATTAAGCCTCTTGAAAGGATCTTTACAGAGCATTCCAGCGATCAAGTCCTTGGCAGATGTGGATATTTGATCCCAGAATTTGGGAGGGAACCGTAGTTCTGCAGCCCTAACTGCATCAAAGATCCTTGATTTGCTCTTCCCCCAAAATGGGGGCATCCCACTTAGAAGAATGTAAAGAATAACACCAGCACTCCACACATCAGCAGCCTGGTTATAACCTCCAGCCAGTACCTCGGGAGCAATGTAAAATGGACTTCCAACTGTCCTATGCAAACAATGCCCTGCAAATACAGAAGCCATGTGCTTAGAACCGAAAAGGGTCAAGAAAGACCCTGGTATCAATCGCAGGAACAGAAGAAACAGAGTAGAATCCCCACCAGGTTTGATGTATGTTGCAAGACCAAAGTCAGCCAATTTAATTGGTGATGATAAAGACTTGGTGGCTAAGAGAATGTTTTCAGGCTTCAAATCTCTGTGAACGATGCCATTTTCATGACAGCACTGAACCACTTGCATAAGATGTCTAAAGATAACACGAGCATTTTGTTCTGAGAACCTACCATGCTTTTCAAGTTGGTGAAAAAGCTCCCCACCCGCGCACAATTCCATCAAAAGATGCACATGATCCTCCTCTTCATACACTGCCTTGAGATTCACAACGTTTGGATGCCCTGATAACCTACTCATTATTTCAATCTCAAGCTTTACACTGCGCACATCATTGAGTGTGGCCAATCTATCTTTAGAAATAGATTTGCAAGCTAAAACCTCACCAGACAGCTTATCCGAGCATGCCCTTATGATACCAAATTGTCCCCACCCCAACTGCTCCCCAAGAACATACCGATCTTTCAAGTTCGCCACTTCAGTCGTGTCCAAAATTGTATCGGTCAGGCTGGATATCCTGTAGCAGTGACAAGATGTCGAAGGCTGTATAATGTTGTCGCTATTGGCTATGTCCATCCCAATAAGGCAAAACTTAATTGCTAGAGAACATTGACCAAAAATTAATTCAAATCCAACTTTATCAAACTGCAGTCTCAGGCGTCCTTTACGACACTCTAGCATTTGAGTCAGCTCATTTCTTTCGCCGGAGTTCAAATCAAACCACCTGAAATTTATACATGGAATAGATCATTCAGAAGATGTGCTTTCCTACTTCCATAGTGAATCTCGTATGCAATAAACCCTTCAATTTCTGAAGCGTTATTGCTGGAAAGTTTCAGAGCATGCATCAATCACCTAGCACTCAACATAGAGTATCTAAAGTTCAGTTTAACATGATCAAATCTCAAAATTCTTTCCTTTGTTTTCCCGTTTCTCACATGATAGATAAAGTAAAGGTATTGTCACGCAACAAAAATTTAAACACAACATATTCCATAAATTTGCGTTAAACATCTAAAAACTAGACTCAAACTCAGCACGGAACAATAGCAAGTAATCCCCAAGCACAATTCAAACACACTCACCATAACAGAATCCAAACTAAAACTTCAAACTCAAAGATCTGTTACAAAACTGCTCAAATTTTGAAGAAAAACAAGAAACCCAGAAAAAAAAATATAGCACCATGTTTCACACCAAAATCCAATACCAAGTGCTAGCAACGCTAACACCAAAAACAACCATAAAAGCTCACATCTTCATAACATGATTAAGCCCCCCAACCCCCCAAAAAAAAAAAATCTATATATAAAAGAAAACGAAAAACCAAAAGCAGACACATTTTAACAAGAACGAGAGAAGCAGACTGACCTGTTCGTAGGAGCATTGAAGAGAGAAGACAAGGTCAGTTATAAAAAAAGTCCGAGGAATCCGAAAACCACCTATTGGCTTCACACTCCCAATTTTTTAGTTCATAACTTTCTCTCTTTTCTCTGTGACCAGTGGCAGGAAATAAGTTACACCTTAACCGCTTATACCCGACACGTGTCCTTAGATTTGGTGGCACTTATAATTTATAAGAGGTCTCTAGCTTTGCAGCTAGTTAATTACGATTAAACCCTCGCATGGATTTTATACAATCATTATCACTTATGGCCACACTGCAAGTGGAGACTCCATTGCTCTTATTCTGGGTTTTTTATATATATATATATATATATATATAATAATTAGGGTTTTCTGCCCACTTTCAAGTTGTTTTCTAGTTGGTTTCGGCAAGAAATTCATGTGCGCGCTTGATATATTTACATTTGAGTGAGATAATATTGTTATGATATACCTCCATGGTTAAGCTTTTTGTTTCTTTGTTTTAGGAAACTTATCTGAGTGTTGTTATCTATCTGTACATCCTTCAAAAAACATACAATTGGTATATCGTTTCTTTTCTTTTCTTTTCTTTTTTTAAAAAGGCTGTTGCTTATTCTAGTTTTTAATATTATAGTAACTATTGTTTTTCTAAATATTTTTATTTATAAATGCATCAAAATATTTTATATTTTTTTAAAATTTATTTTTAATACTACCCATTAAAAAAATTTAAAAATATTAAAAAATTAATTGTGAACATTTTTTTAGCAAATGCCAAAAGGGTTCTAAGTGTGCAAGGGCGTACGTGATCGTGTCACCATACATGATCTTTATAGAGTGCCACGTGGGACATTGTGAGTGGCTAGGACACTTTGTAGGCCCTTTATTTAAGCACGATACTATAGTTTAGATAAAGATATGATGCTGTCCGAAGTTAAGGTAGGCGAGATCCTAGCTGTCATTAGCTGTACTTGCAGGTGTAGATTTTCTTTTTTTCCTTCGTGCTTTGTAATATTTAAGAGGGCGTCCATGGCTAGTTGACTTTATGAGAATTTTTTTATTGTACATGTGCGTGGGTGGCTTAAAGTTTAAGCACCTTTGTTGGAAAGCATAACCATAAATATAGACTGTTCATATTACGTTTTTTTTTGCTCTTTTTATTTAGTTTTTATTGGATCAAATTATAGGTGATTTTATCAGGGAAAAACTAAGATTGAAAGGCAAGAGATGACATTAAAAAATATGAAAAAAATAACTTTAATAAAGTCTAGCCCCTTTAAATTCTCAAATTTAAAAAAATAAATTAATTGTGATCTTCAACTTTGTTTTCTTTTATTTTTTAACTCCTAATTTAAAAAAATTAAGAAAAAGTCACTCGAATCTAGTCTTAGAGAGAGAAATTGTTTTGTCGGCACCAATTATGACCACAAAAACCATTGATATTGAGAATTTTAATTGAATGTTTTCTTACCTTGAAATTACCTAGAAAAACAATGTTAAGGAACCATATTAACTCAATAACTTAAGCTATTAGATGAGATTCTAATATATAATTTATATTATTCTCTAATATACCCCCTCAAGTGAAAGTATTTTGGACTTGAAACTTGTACAAGACTACATTGCTTTGTGCTTAATTTTTATTAAATAAATGAGTATGATGAGATTTGAACTCATGATCACTTATTCATCAAGGCTCTGATACCATGTTAAAAAATCATATAAGCCCAATAGTTGAAACTGTTAGGTGAGATCTTAGGATATGATTTATATTATTCTTTAACAAACAGATATAAACCGGTGATATTTTTAGTTGTGGGTTGATTTCGAGGTTTGGAATGACTTTTTGGGTATTTTTAAGCTATGAATGAATTTATCAAGTTTTCTATGATATTTCTAGGTATTTTTAATAAAAAATGGGTTGAAAGATCGATTTTGGATTAAAACAATTTCTGCTCCATTTTTGCGACCACCAGAGCGGCTACGAATTAAGCAATATCAAATGTTGTGTTATTTGCCTCAGCAGACAATGCATATCTAATTTTTTTTTTTCAAAAAATATGGAGTCATTCGCCCTATAAAAAAAAATTAGGCCCCAGCACACGGGCCTCCTCTTGCAGGCCAACATCGAGGCCCTTTCTAAATGGATCAAGCCCAACAACGCCTAATATTTTTTTTCAATGTTGTTTTTAATTAGTGCCTTTTATATGTATTTTTTCAAAATAATTTTCAAAATTATATGTAGATTAATATCTCTTCTCTTTTTTATTTTGTTAATCTAAACTCTTTTAAATATCATTATTTTTTGGTTATTTTATATGCATTTAATTTTTTGAGAGATTGTTCTAATTCATCTATAATTTTTTTATGTTTTATATAAATAAAATTTATTTTAAAAAATTAAAAATATTTATTTTCGAATAATATTTTTAATTTGTATAACCTTGTATAATATTTTTTTCCTTCTATTTTATTTAATCAATTTCATGTATGTCTATTTTTATTATTATTTAATTAAATAAAAAAATTAATTTTTACGAATAAAGTCGTTAAACACAACCATGTCAAAGATTTGAGTTGCGAGGTTGGATATCTTAGTCTATATTCGGCTCTCAATTTTTTTTTTATGTTTTTTTTGTTAATGACTTTTTATTTATTTATTAACATATATAGTTCTTAATTTATTTTATTAGATGTATACATAGGTTTTTCTATTTTTACTTTTGATTTTTTTATATAAAAAAACATTGAAAAAGCTTACATATTTAATATTTTAGAAAACAATTTAACTCACGATGGAGCACAGGTCAAATATCTAATAAAACACTAAAGGGTGTGGGTTTTTAATTATAGTTGGTACTATTTTCACCCTAAAAAAATATTGTGGAACTATGGTTCATCTTTTTAATAATTTATTTTAGTCTCCCAGGTTTAATTTTGAGTGATTCAATCCTAATTGAAAGTCAATTGCTTTTTATTTATTAGGTAATAATAAAATTGAAACAAAAAGGATCAAAATAATAATAAAAAAGTCATCAAACATGAGTGGTATGCCAAAGATTTCAAGAAAAACACATTTAAATCCTCAAATTTTAAAAATGACATAAATTATATAATTTAAGTCCCTTTAAATTTTACAAAAAAAATCAAATTTGGTACAAAAAACTATTTAAATTATTTTTCAATCCTTGATTGAAGAGAGTAGAGATAGAGGGGTTATGGTCTTCCAACGATGTGAGAGAAAGTTGTTGCTCAAGTTGTTTTTAACCACCAAAATAGATTTTTTTATGCCTATGGGTTCTATAAGATAAGAGGAGTTTGATGTGGTTATTTAGATTCTTAATGTTACTTAAAAAAATATATATAAATTAAGAAAAATAAATCTGACCTAATTTGATTTTGAGTTTTTAAAGTGTTTTTAGGTATTCTGAGTTGATAGTTTGGTTTGTGGGTGTTCCAAAAGTGTTAATAAAGTATTTTTGGATTGAATTAATTTAAAAATTAGATTTTTTGGGTGAAAAAAATATTGCCTTGATTTTCAACCACAATAGTAGTAGCTGGAATTTGAACTCACGGATAACATGTCACTTATGTATTATTTTGTTAAAAAAATAAAGGCAGGATCTTTTAAAAAACAAATAATTAAAATGATGTCTAGTTGCGTGGACCTGGACTTTAAGGCCCATCCAAGCACTTGGGTTTGTCCTTGCAATGGCTCAGGGGTGTCACACACCGGATCTCTTTTTTTACCCTTATATATATATATATATATGGGTAAAAAATATTTAACCTAATTAAGGTTGATGATCTTGATTTTAGGTTTGACAAGTTAAGCTATAACATACGGGATATTATTTATTTAAAATTTATTTTTTTTAATTGATATCTTTTTTCAAAGTATCTTTCTTCTAAATAATATTTAAATTTATGTTTCAATTAATATTGCTCATTTGTGATTTTTTTTATCTTGATCTACACTTGTCTCTTGATTTTTCTAGTTTTATATTTAGTTATTGTTAATGTTTTTTTCATTTATTAACATATATAATTCTTAATTTATTTGATTATATATATTCATAAACTTTTTTATTTTCAGTTAGAAATTTTTTAACTATAAGAATGCATTAAAAAATTCAACGCATATAATTATTTTTAGAAAAATAAATATTTGACTTGTGATGAAGTAGATGTGACATAGCTAGTATTAAGTATAACTTTAAAAGGCTTGAGTTTTTCACTATGCAAGACTCCACTATTCATCCTTCCACACATTATTATAAGTAGGCTGTGAAAAACTTTTTATTTTTTTAATTTGCTCCTTAAATCTTTTTTATCAGAAAATTTAGTCCTAATTAGAGACTAATTACTTTTGTTTTTTATGTGAAGTTGAGATTGAAAAGGAAGGGTTTGAAATGAAAAGAGAATCAAACATGAGTGCGCATGAAATGAGTGTCGCAAAACATATACTTTGATCCTTGAACTTTAAAAATCATGTAAATTATACAATTTCAACACCTCAATGTTTTTCTAATTCAATTTTAATACTAGAGTTCATTTTTTTTTATTTTTTAATTTCTGGTTGAGAGAGGAGAGAGAGAGATTGTCAGATTCCAATGATAAAAAGAAAAAAAATATTGTTGATATTAATTTATACCACTAAAACATATAACATTTATATCAAATGATTTTATTTGATGAGAAGAATTCATATTAGATGTTTTTTATTTTTAAAGTTTGTGAATAAACAAATCAAAATTTTGGTTGATTTTCTATTTTGGATTGATTTCAGTATTTTGGGTGTTTTGAGGCCATATATAAGCTTATGACTGTTGCTACAGTTTTTTATTGGTGTTTTGGATTAAATATAAATTTTAAAAAAGGGTTTTTTGATCAAACAACATAAGTCATAATTTCTCAACTACTAATGTGGCCAGAATCTAAGCAAATTAAATGATGAATCGTCTAATTTTCTTTTAAAAAAATTAAGCCTAACAATATATCTTCTACCCTAATTTCAAACAAAAAAAATCAAGGGCCGATCATGTGGGTTCTAATAAAATAAGCTAGACAGTTTGGCTTGATCTGCCAGGCCTATTAGCTTCTGGTCTTTGCTTTTCCTTTTTATTTTATTTTTTAAAATTAATGATTTTTTATGATTTTTTCT